TGTTTGTGTGAATTTTGGGGTGATGTTTGGGTGAATTTTTGGGGTAAAGTTTGGGTGAATATTTGAGTAAAGTTTGGGTGAATTTTTGGGGTAAAGTTTGGGTGAATATTTAAGTAAAGTTTGGGTGAATTTTGGGATGATATTTGGGTGAATTTTGAGGTGATGTTTGGATGAATTTTGGGGTAAAGTTTGGGTGAATATTTAAATAAAGTTTTGGTGAATTTTGGGGTGATATTTGGGTGAATTTTGGGGTAAAGTTTGGGTGAATATTTGAGTAAAATTTTGGTGAATTTTGGATTAAATTCATGATGAGTTTTCTGTTCAGCTGTTTTTCTGCATCATTACTTTTCTATGACTCAAATTCATGTTACCTGCATGAAGGTAAGGTGATGATGATGGACCTCCACCTGTGTGTTTGTGAACTCAAGCATGAACCCTGACCTCTTACCCACTTCCCCTCCCCCACAGGAAAACCATATCTGTTAGAATAGTTGACCAGGAGGAGTACGATAAGAAGGCCAGCTTCTATGTGGAGCTTCAGGAGCCGTACTGGGACAGAAGGAGATGGACAGGTGTGAGGACTCACCTTTACCTGCCTGACCTTTGACCTCTCCTGCTGCCATCTCTCTGCTGCTCCTTCCTTCTGTCAGCTGGCCTCCTACTGGTCAGAAACCGTTTAAAATAAGTAAACCGGACAGACGTTCTCTGTAACATTCATTCAGCCTCCTGAGCAGGAGCGGTCCGGTCCAAACAGGGAGTGAGTGGGCCAAACGGGTGTGTTAGAAACCAGAAACAGGTCCAGAAGAGTCAGATGATGTTAAAACAGAAGTCATAGTATCAGCTCATGAAGGGATTTTGTATCAGAACATCATGTCTGTAAGATCGAGGGCTGTGGAGTCCAATCCTGGTCCTGGAGAACCACTACCCTGCAGGTTCTAGATGTTTCTGGGCTGTGACACACCTGATTTGAATGAATGAGTGAACAATAGGGTTCTGCAGAACCTGAAGAGCACAGAACCAAAAATCTGCAGGTTGGTGGCCCTCAAGGACCAGAATTGATCACCAGTGGTCCAAGTTCAGCAGGACCAGCTGAGGCTAGAACCAGTTCTGATGAAGAGTTGTTGGTACCGTGGGTCAGAACTGTCTGAAGTCCATCCTGAGAAGTTAGAATTTAATATTAATCCTGTTTGTTTTAATCTCAGTTTTCATTTGAAAACATCAGCTGTAACCTCGAACTAACATGAGCCCGTTAGACCCAGAACTGAACCATCTGCAGTCTGTGGTGGTCCAGTTCAGGATCAGGACTTTTCTGCATGAGTCCAGAGGCTATAAATGTTCCAGAGCTCGTCTTCCTGCATCTTCATGTCTCTCTCTCGTCTCTTCTTTCTCTTCAGCTCTGTTGCTTCAGGAAGTCGGTAAGCTGTCTTTACCTCCTTCTGTCCTGTCCTGTCCACATTAAACTTCCTGTCTTGAGTGTTTCAGGATGTTGACTTCCTGTTTCTTGTCATTACAGGTGGATTTGTCAGGACAGGTAGGACAGAGCAAACCTTTGAATGCTTTCACACGAGTGTAAAGTTTCTGCTGGACTAACTTGAGCTTTTTGTGTAACTTTTATCAGACAAACAGCTGTTTGGTAAGACGTCCTCTGTGGTGAGACGATTGTGTGGACAGTTTTAACCCTTAAAGCACCGGTGTGTCTGAACAGAGTGACCTTAACACCACGCTCAAACCACTCATATTTCACTCCGATGCCACAAAAACACTTCCTGCTGGAAAGTTCCCACATCTGATCTGTGAGAATCGAAGGTTCCAGCAGGAAACGGTCACAAGTTCATTGGTCATGAAGAACATGTCCGCCATCTTCAAAACTTCCAGTTTGACCCAAACAACAGAATTCTGACCCCACACCGAGTCATTATTCATTTAACAAAAATTAAACCAAACTGGGAAGAACCGGTTCTGCAGCCAGTAGAACTGAACCATCAAAACCCTCAGTAGTTCTCTGTAGAATTCATCAGTCTCTCTCCTAGTTCTGGAGGAGTTCTGGCCCACTCTTCTTTCCATCATTGAGGGTTCGGTTCAGCTCTCTGAAAGTCCATCACAGCACTTAAGGCAGATTGAAGTTCTGAATTCTGACTGGACCTTGGTTCTGTTATTTCGGATTTGCTCTGTTGTAGATCAGCTGTGTTTGGGATCATGATCCTCTTGGACCCAGTTTGGTCCAAGCTTCAGCTGTTGGACTCCAAAACTCTTTGATCTCCAGAGGAGTTCTGGTCCACGCAGTGACTGACAGGAGTCCAAACCATCAGCCTCCATCACCATGCTGACAGCTAGGAAGAGCTGTTTGCTGCAGTGCATTATGGGTAAACATATGTTCTTTTGTCTGGTTCTGGTCCAGAAGTCTTGTGGTTACTTCAGATTAAAGATTTCTGATCCTGGACCTCTGAGGTCCTCTGGAAGCAGCAGAACCAGAACCAGGTTTTAGATTCAGTTGAATAAATAACGACTTGGTGGAACCTGAGATTAGATCTGGATCCTATAGAACCTTGTAAAGTCCAGATCCGTTTGAGCAGGTCCTGGAACTGAAGGAGGTGGACTTCGTTGTTCCTAGTTGCATTTTGTTCCATGTGAACCCGAGGACATAGAACCACACTGAGGTCTTTTATTAGAAAAACACATTTTACTTTTTAATTTTTTTATTTCCACTGAACCTGAAAACCTGACCCAGATCAGACTGAGCCATGTTCTGGCTGCATGGATTCACTCTGAGAACCAATAGTCCTACAGAACCTGAGACCAGTCAGGGACAGGTCAGGACTCTCTGAGCATGCTCAGTGCTCAGGTTCTGACACAAGGCTCAGATGTTCTGAAGTCCATTCTGAACCCAAGCTGGATCAAAGTCTGTGATGGAACCTATGAAACGTTCTCTGAGCCCTGATGTTCTCCTCTGATCTGGGTTCATGTTGGACAGATCAGGGGACTGTCTCTGGTTCTGTCTGACAGAAACAAAGTTCTGGATCCAATTGAACCACTTTTTGTTCACTTGTTCAGGTAAAGACGTCTACAGAAAGGTCCAGGGACGAGACCGCCCCGCCCCCTCAGCTGTCATCAGCATCACAGGTTTGTCTGTCCTCCATCTGTCCAACTGTCCATCCAACATGTAACTGTCCATCTTTTCCTCTCTGTCAGATGGGCTACGTGAGGACATCTTGACGAAGAAGGAGGAGGAGGAGCGGAGGATTGCAGAGTTGGGCCGACCGATCCTGGGTGAACACGTTCGTCTGGAGGTGACCATCGAGGAGTCATATGAGTTTAAGGTGGGAGAACTTTTTTTAAACAACATCTAAAGTCATAAATTTATCAAATCAGATCCTTCGTGAAGCAGAAGATCAGCTGGTTCTGATTCTGAAGCTCCAGAGAATTGATTTGATCCAAATCTTTATATCAGCACCATTTTCTCACCTGGTTCCATGTGTTGTGAGCCTGGTCCTCAGGGGACAGGACTTCGCTTAATACAACTGTCCTCAGGACATAGGACTTGACTTAATGCAACTTGTCCTCAGGGGACAGGACTTAACTGAATACAATT